CATCCATTATCTTTTACCCGCTTCTTCCATTTTTGGGTCACGGGGGTTGCCGGTGCCCATGTCCAGCAGTCACTGGGTTTTGTTTATTGCAGTTATGATTCAATGCAGTTAAATAAACAAATTTAAATGTAACAGATCATTGTAAACTCTGGTTTATTCACATAATGATTTTAATCGCTGGATGTGCGCCCCCAAGCTGTTGGCTTTCAGAAACTGTGGCCCCCTGAGCAGTGTTGTTCAATAGCCCTGTATATCATTTAAGGTGCACCACCTAACACAAATTTACATTGTCTTCAACAAGGAAACTTAAAATTAAATATTTGTTTAGAGCGTCCCAATGTTTTTGTTATTTGGTGATATTTCTTTCTCTATGGTGAACATTTGTAAATGTGGAAAACAAGTGAAAAAAACAAACCAGTAAAACAATAATGTGAAACATTAATAGTTAACATTTCTAAATTTGCAAATAAAATACTGTTTTATTCTTGCCATAATGATGGAATACCACTATGCTCATGTTTAGAAAGATATTTGCAGGTTTTGTTCTTGAAGGTAAAACAGAAAACTGACGCAGCCTTGTGGTACACCTGTGCTACTACTGACTTCATGGAGTTTGTCATTTATTTCCCTGCAGGTGTCTGTTTATTAAAAATTGATTTTATTAATTTATCGGTCTTGTCATTATTGTTGTTATTATCCTGTAGATTTATTAATCAGACAAACACCCGGCAGGTCACTGTCACGTTCCTGAGCTTCCTCCACGAGAGACGAAAGCTGCGCGGCTGAGAGTCACGGAACGATGACGTCATTTTTATGAGACGGAAAAGGGAAACAATTGTAGTCGCAAAGAAAGAGCAGCCTTCCATGACCAACTGCACCGTGACAACACAAGTACTTGACCCAACAAGAAAACAGGTGAGCTTTGTTTAGAGAACAGCGAAGTGTTTAGTGCTCAGCCTTGAAAAGATGCTATTTGTCCTTAACTGGTGACTTTGACATGATTGTGTATCTTTGACTGAGCCCAGTCTGTCGTTCATCAGCAGACTGGGAGGCTCGTGTTAAAACCACTTGAACTTCTCTGAGCTCTGCGTGTCTTTATACTGGGAGCTCAGTGTTTACTTCTTTGTGTTCTGTACTTTTATATCATGTGAACATTATTCAGGCCTAACTCACTCTTTCAATGACAGCAGATATCTGAAGTGTCCTCCATTGTCCCCAACGATGGTAAGACATTCATTGTTTTTATTTTTGTACATAAACTCACATTTTAGTAATCATTGTGTGGTACCAATTGTTACCTTTTTGCCTCTAGTAGTTTAAAGTTATCTGACACATTTTCAACCAAATGCTGAATACATTTCTTGAAACGTTTGATTTCTTTTCACATGACAGCAGGGCAGAGGTGGAGTAAATGTGGTGCACCACCTCCATGCAACCCCTCTCCATTTTTACTGCCTTTCAAAGGCCCTCGCATGTTTTCACTGCAGAGATACAGTGAGCACAGTGGCACTGGAGGCTGTGAAGAGTTCTGTCGGTGTTTTTCAATGAGAAAAATGGCATCTTTGTTTGCAAATGACGTCGCCACGGTAACGCGAAATGCCAATAAAAGTAATAGCACATATCACAGTGCCGATCCGGTGCCGATCCGGTTGTTTGGATATCAAATTTGTGGGGACATTGGGATTCAGTCCGCATTAAAGTTGGTAGAAGAGCAAACCCTTTTCAGGTGGATAATAATCGGTGGCTGCCTTCAGGCAGTCCCCAACAATGACACTCACTCCACCGCCATCTTTATGACCGCCCTGCCAAAAGCTTGAATTGTTGATACCGGTGTATTCTGTTCACACCAAACTCTTACCCAGCAATCTGAATGTTGCTGCAAAAATGAAGACTCATCTGACTTGTGAACACGTTTTTGTTATTTTATCTTTGTTGTTGATGTTTTGGTGAAACCATGAAATCTCCTGTTTTCTGGCCTTTCACAGGAGTAGCTCTCATTTAGTACTGAACATGTTGAGAAATATGGGAGGATGCTCTTGCACAGTTTGAGTAGAAAGTGTTTTTCTGAGTTACTTGTTTTACAACTAGCTCGTATCGGTCTGGTGATGCCACTCTGACCTTTGCCGCAACTAAGGCATTTTCATAAAACAGCATTTATTCATTCATTTATTCTTTCGAAGCCTAAAAACTTCATGTCTGATTCTGACAGTCACGTACTTTGATACAATCCTTCTCGCTGTGATGCTTGGTGTGATCTATAGCAATGTCCTTTACTAGAAAATGGTTCATGATTGGCTGATTACAGATTGATTTTAGATAAAAGGTGAAGAATTCTAGTTCCCAAAGCAGCCCATAGGTTTAGGCCTGTTGTAACTGCAGAATAAAATGTACCAAGCTTTAGTTCCCCTCGTTGTGCTTTTGACAGCATGGCCGTGTGAAGGTTAAAACTACCGCCCAGCAGGAGGAGGAGAAAAAGAAAGAGCGGGAGAAGAAGCTGAAGATCTACGTCGCTGCACGTGATGCCTGCTTTTCAAAGGTCCTTTAAAACTCTATACATTGAAACAAATCCTATAAAAACAAACCAAGACTAAACTTTGGAGTGATTAGCATGTGTGTGAACAAACACTGATGTGTTCTGCCATTAGTGAGATGTTTTGGTGACACGTCCGTTTAATCTGGTTTCTTTTATTTTGTCAAACCTTTATAAAGACAAAATAACCTGCAGCTGAAAGTAGACTTCTGCAAATATCTGGTTTCATCTTTTATGAGCAATGTTGATTAAAACAAGAGTTACGTGACAGAACGCCAGATCCTTTTTTCTGACCAGTTCTATATGTTCAGAACAAACTGGTTTTGAAGCTGTTCCTGTTTGTCTTGCTCACGCTCATCTCTTTCTTCTCCACCTTAGAGAAAAGATGGAATATTTGATGACGAGGCTCTTCAGCTTACTCAGCAGCTGCTTTCATCCAACCCTGACTTTGCAACGCTCTGGAACTACAGGAGAGAAATCTTAATGCACCTGGAAACTGTCAGGTCAAACGGTTTTCCTCTTTGTGAAGTCTTCCCAGTCTTTCCAGTCCAGGCCCAGTCTTTTTAAATTGAAAAGTTTCAGAGATGTTGTTGTGGAATAGTTGCTTTCTTTTTCTGTGCCCACTTCAGAGATGAGAACGAGGTGCAGAAAATCTACCAGGCCGAGCTGTTCTTCCTGGAATCTTGCCTTAAAGTGAATCCAAAGTCTTACGGCAGCTGGCACCACCGGGGCTGGGTCTCAGCTCGTTTACCTCAACCGGACTGGGCCAGAGAGTTGGGTCTGTGTGATCGCTGCTTGAGTCTTGACGACCGCAACTGTGAGTAAGAAAGTACTGCTTTTAATGTAGTTAATGTACGTCACTGCTGTATTTGTACTGAGTTCAGAGGATGCGTCCTCCTCCCTCCCACAGTCCACTGCTGGGATTATCGTCGGATGGTTGTGAAGATGTCTGGGGTGCCTGTGGAGAAGGAGCTGGAGTTCACTGACCGTCTCATAGGCTCCAACTTTTCGAATTATTCCAGCTGGCACTACCGCAGCACCCTCCTACCACTGCTCCACCCGGAGTGTCCTGACCAGACGTCAGCACGCTGTGAGCCGCCTCAGCCCTCCTCTCAACCTTCTCCTCAAACCCACTTTCATCGAGTGTGTGAGGAGCAGCTACTCAAAGGTCTGCAATGCACAGTAGCCACCAGCAGGGGGCAGTCTCAGTCTTTAAATGTTCATCTTTTTTACTGTAGGTTTGATGTTTTTTTTTTATTTTCAGAATACGAGCTGGTTCAAAATGCTTTTTTTACTGACCCCAATGACCAGAGCGCTTGGTTCTACTATCGCTGGCTGTTAGGCAGAGGTATGTCTGTTCAGGGACTGAGAGTCACTTTGAAAATACTCTGACTCACGGTGTCCCCTAATAATCTTAGTATCAGAGAGTCAGAGTTTCTTTATTGTCATTCGCACCTCATGTGGTACATGTGGTGGAGCGAAATTATGTACACAAGGTCCCAGTTACATCCAACAATAAAATGTATAATAAAAACAGTAATAACATCTAAGATATGAACTAAGAAAAACATCAACTAAATATACACTAAGCACTCATAACATAAAACATTGAACATCAGCACAAACATGAACATGAGTCTGTGAGCAGATGTGCACGCATGAACACATCAACATTGAAACAGATCAGCAGCAACATGAAACAGATCAGCAGCAACATGAAACAGATCAGCAGCAACATGAAACAGATCAGCAGCAACATGATATGGTTTTTCACAGTGATTATTCTGGTTAGAGATTCATGAGTCTAACAGCCTCAGGGTAGAAGCTGTTCCTCAGTCTAGTGGTTCTACACTTAATGCTCCTCGGCCTCCTGCCTGAGGGGAGTGGTGCAAAAAGTGTGTGTGCTGGGTGAGTGTGGTCCTTCATGATGCAGGTGGCCCTCTTCCTGCATCTGGAGGTGTAGTTGTCTGTGATGGTGGGGAGACTGACTCCAACATCTTCTGTGCAGCCTTCACCACTCTCTGCAAAGCTTTTCTTTCTGCAGCTGTGCAGCCTCCATGCCACACATTGATGCTGGAGCACAGGATGCTCTCCACTGCACACCTGTAGAAGGAGGTGAGGACTGAGCTTCCCAGACCAGCTCGTCTCAGCCGTCTGAGGAAGTAGAGTCTCTGATGAGCTTTATGAGCTAATAATCTCAGTATACATAGTGGGTGGAAAATGACCTGAAATGATGAAGGTTAAAAATGAAAAATGAAACTTTTTCCGACCTTTAGGGATTTCTGATTTGATTTATATGTTTGAGCTGTAGCTGTTTTACAGTGTTACACCTGGCTAGTTTAGCTTCAGCATTAACAGGACTATGAGGACAGCCTCAACATTGAAGTGTACAGGAGACCAACCCACACAGACCAGTATCTTCTGTTTGACTCCCACCATCCACTGGAACACAAACTCTCTGTCATCAGAACTTTACAACATCGGGCCGAACGCGTCCCCACAAAGACAGAAGGGAAGGAAAAGGAACAGAAACACGTTCAAGAAGCTCTTCAAACATGTGGATATCCTAACTGGGCTTTTGTCAAGTCAGAGAGGAAATCTACAAAACACACTAATAAACAGAACAAGGAGAACAACAGACGTAAAAACATTGTCATCCCTTATGTTGCTGGAGTATCAGAGAAATTCAGAAGGATCTTCAACAAACACAACATCCCAGTACATTTCAAACCCAGCAGGATTCTCAGACAGATGCTGGTCCACCCTAAGGACAGAACACCCATACACAAACAGAGTGGTGTAGTGTATGCGGTCCAGTGCAGCGAGGACTGTCCAGACCTCTACATTGGAGAAACTAAACAGCCTCTTCACAGACGCATGGCTCAACACAGGAGAGCCAGCCCCACAGGACAAGACTCAGCTGTTCACCTCCACCTCACAGATAAGGGACACTCTTTTGAGGACCAAAATGTGCACATTTTGGACCGAGAACACAGATGGTTTGAGAAGGGGGTGAAGGAAGCAATTTATGTTAAAGAGAAAAAACATCTCTTAACAGAGGAGGAGGCCTCAGATTTTAACTTTCAAAAACATATAATGCAACTTTAAAACAGATTCCCAGCCGGTTTTCACACCTGATGGGAACAGAGGGGCTTCATATGTGAATTAGAGGAACAAAGACCTTAATAAACCCGAACTGTTAAGGTGTGAGGTGTGATTTGTCAATCTGCATATGTGTGTGTGTTTTATCTCACTCAGCCTTATAACTTGAACCCAACATTCACTGCTCTTTGAATTCAGAAAACTCCTCGGATTAGGAGCGAAACATCTTCTGTTACAAAGTCCAGTTGTTTTTGTATTGAACATTTTTTGAATTCATTAACAGGACTCTAAACACTTTAGTTAAAAAAAGTTAATTTTATTTTAAATTTTATTATAAAAAAAGACATTTTCTGATTTTAAAAGGCCGTAGAAATGTCGCGGGGTACAGCATATACTAAGAAATCTTGCCACGATGGCTTAATTCTACACATTCACAATTGCAGCCAGTTAGCAAAAGTTGACAACTAATGTTCAGTATAAGTACCTAATCAAATAATTAATTGATTATCCAACAGCTTTCAGTCAGGTCATCTGGACAGTTTCTTTTTTTGTTGAAACGTTTCACCTTCCATCCAGAAGGCTTCATCAGTCAAGGAAACACACAACAAAAACTGATTCTTCCCCCAAACAACTTACTCCAAAGTGGAACAAACCAGTTATGTTGGTGCTAAGATGGTCTCTTTGACACGCACCCTCCTCTGGAGCCGGCCCTCTTCCTCGTCGACAGTCATGTCAAACTGGTTCAAAACCAAAAAAGGATTATTGAGCATGGACTTTTTTGACTGATTGATTATAGTAACTTTATCTTTGAAATGAGCAGAAGTACGTTTAAAAGTGAGCAGAAATTGAAGAATTCCTCTCCATTTGCAAAGCACAGGTGGAAATAATGATGATATATAAGTGTGTGTGTGTGTGTGTGTACAGTATAACCTACTGTATTAAAAGGACTGGTGGCATGAACCAAAGGTTTTGGTTTATTGTTCTTGCTCATCCAAACACACAAAAGAAGAGCAGAAAGGACGAAGTGACTGTAGATAATTCATGAACCAGTTTTCTCCAGACTAGAAAGCTTTTTGCAGAAAGACTGGACACAATGACTGGAACAAGAGTTGAAGGACTCTCAGCTGGCGGCAAAACATTTGTCCTGCGCTGATTGCTAACAGAGTACCAGAGATTTGATTTGATTTGGCACCTTCTTTCTTTTAGTTACGATTCTAAGAAAACGAATCAATGTGCCAGCGGGTCTTTACTCACCTGGCTCTTCATGTTTACAGACCTCCATGTGTTTCATGCACTCTGTATTTGCTGCTCGTTGTTAACTGGTTTTGTCTTTTTACCAGCTGAGCGGGAAGAGATGATCAGCTGTGTGTATGTCGGTCGGGAGGAGGAAAGAGTCGCTGTTGCTTTCTCCACACCTGTCAGTGTCAGTATCTTACTTTTTCTGCAGACAATGTTCATTCATTCATTCATTTTTACTGCATTTCTGTAGGAAAGATGTGAAACTGTTATTATGTAAACTTCAAAATTGGATTTGAAATTTGAAGCTCAGTGAGACTAGCCTGTATAAATAAAGGTTGAATGAATGAATGAATCTGTTTTCTAATCCAAGTGTGTTACATATAACTATTTGCCAGATTGCAGGTATTTATTTATTTTTATTTAGCATTGTATGTGTTGGAATGCAATTATAGATCCAGATGTGTTTTAAACAGAACAAGCATCAGGAATGATTTTATTGAGTGTGTGAAGAAGGTTTTCAAATTGTGGTGCAACCACTTTAAAATAAATAGTACAGCCGGCTCCATCTTGTGCTCTGTGTTTACTCTGTTTCCTCCTTTTTTCTTTCAGGTCCTGTCAGTCGGCCTGCTCCTGATCGTGGACGGTCAGCCTCAGCGAGTGGAGTGGCGCAGCGTCCACCCTCACTTTAAACACAGCCCTGTCTGGGTATCCTTTTCACTCATTCACACCTTATGTTTTCACAGAACACCGTAATTTCCAGACTAAGCTGCTACTTTTGTCACAGGCTTTGAACACTGCCGCTTATATAATGCTGCGGCTAATTTATGGATTATCTTTGTTCTTGACGGGCTAATGAGCTTCACGCCACCAAAACATTTAGCCTGGGGGGTGGGTCCTCGTGTGTCAATGAGACTACCTGTATAAATAAAGGTAAAAAATATATGACCAATGAAATTACCAAATTGGTTACAGGTCCACTGGGGATTGAACCCAGGACCTTCTTGCAGTGAGGCAACAGAGCTAACCACTGAGCCGTCGTGCTGCCATGTGACTAATGGTGACCGTCACTGCTGCTGACTGAAAATGATGTTTTTAAAGATGTGTGACGAGAGAAAACGAGTGTTTTTCTTGTAAAACTTTGATCGTTCAACCTCTAGTTTTAGTCAGTAGAGACGACGTTTTGTTTCACAGCTTGTTTTTTTAAATCTTAAATGATTTGCTGTTCTGAGGTAAAAGTCTAAATATAAACTGACTGTATAAGAACACATATTTAATATATTTCCAAATTTTGTTATGTTTGGAATGAGTCCAAACGTAAACAGTTTTGTGAGTTTCCAACCATAAAGCGTAACCTTCAGCAGCACATGGAGGTTGTTAAGTCGTCTCAGAGAGGACTCTGTTGGCATGTGAGCTCAGCAGCTCTTATCATTTTATTCACAAACTACAGATGGTAATTTCCCTCTGTTTTCCCCCCATGCGTCATTTGAACATTGATTTCAGTAATTCATTTTTAATTAGTTTACACACAACACCACATAGAAACAAAGCGAGCACGCTGTTTTAATAAAAAATAGTTGTTAAGGATTAAACAAATTTCTTATGGCTGTGTTCGCTTTAGACTTTTCACTTGATTAAAGCGTTTGGCCGAAATGTTGCTGTCAGATGTTCATTGGGAATATTTTTGCACACCGCCCTGTTAGTGCATGTTTCAGGCCCAGTTCAGTCCCAGCATTAACGCACGTCTTTGATGGTTTGACTTCAGGTGGACAGCTGTTATTGAGAGCGTTCACACCTGGCAGCAAAATGTACACCTCTAAATGTTTTTGAGACTAAATGTCAATAATTGACTGCACGCAGATAAATATGCATCATATCGCCACGTCACACAATGAGCAGCAAACAGGACGTCATCAGGTCTGAATGTTTCTGTAAAATACGTTCAGCATCTGAACTATATTATTTAGACTTTAACACAGTTTGACTTGCATTAATGGGGAGTTTAACAGATGTGGGAGAAATACAGGAGCATGCAACGATCAAACTCCACCGTTAATAGTGCACTGCAGTTGTCAGGTAATCTCTACAAAGCTTCATTGCTTCACATTAGTTTTGTGTTTAATTAGGATTAATTAAACGTGGCACAGCACAGTCAAGCTTACAGTAACCATACCAGGTCCAGTCAACTTACACCAGTCAGAACAAACAAAGTGAATAGGAGCTGACCGTGCAGCATCACGCTCTCCACTTTGAATGATTGAATCCTGACTAAACTGGCATTTTTTATTAAGAAGGATTCTGACTGACAGTTCATTAAAACTTTTAGATGAAAACAAACAAACAAAAAATTAAATTCAGTTTATTTATATAGCACCAAGTCACAACAGAAGTGATCTCAGGGCACTGAATAGAAACATTCATATATTTATATATATAAAAAAACAAGTTCGTAAAAGTTCTCTAAGGAAGCAGCTGACTCGTTGAATCTTCACTTCATCACAGTCTCCCATCCTGAGCAAGCACAAAGGAGACAGTGGAAAGGAACAACTCCCTTTTAACAGGAAAAAACCTCCAGCAGAACCAGGCTCAGGACGTGCAGCCACCTGCTTCAATCGGCTGGGTTTGAGAGGACAGGAAGGAGGAGTGAACACAGACTGACAGGTGCAGGTGTACTTTCTGTTGGAGGAAATACAAAAACTTACGTCAAGGATAGAAAGATTTACAAATACAAAACAGGTTGAGCATAGAAAGTAAAGACAGCAGCGACGTGAAGGAATGTGGTCAGTTTGTCCTCCACCAGTCTATGTCTATAGCAGCATAACTAAGGGATAGCTCAGGAGACTCAAGCCAACCCTAACTATAGGATTTATCAAAAAGGAAAGTCTTAAGCCAAGTCTTAAAACTGGACAATGTGTCAGCCTCACGGACAGAAACTGGAAGTTGGTTCCACAAGAGAGGAGCCTGATAACTGAAAGCTCTTCCTCTCATTCTGCTTTTGGAAACTAGAAACCATAAGTAAACCTGCAGTCTGAGAGTGAAGTGCTCTGTTAGAATAATATGAAACAATAAGATCCTCCCTGGGCTGCCACCTTACTGTGATGAAGAGGTTTGAGTGTCCCAATAATCCTAGGAGCTATGCTGTCAGGGGCTTCATGCCCCTAGTAGGGTCAACCAAGGCAGACAGGTCCTAGGTGAGGGACCAGACAAAGTGCAGCCCAAAGACCCCTTATGATGAACACAATCAGTGGAAACAATGTTCCCTTGCCCGTACGTGGGTCACCGGGGCCCCACTCTAGAGCCAAGCCTGGAGGCGGGGCATGTTGGCGAGCGCCTGGTGGCCGGGCTTTTACCCATGGAGCCTGGCTGGGCACAGCCCGAAGAGGAGACATGGGTCCCCCTTCCCACTGGCTCAACACCTTTGGGAGGGGCCAAAGGGGTCAGGTGCAATGTGGGATGGGTGGTGGCCGAGGGCGGGGACCCTGGCTGTCTGATCCTCGGCTACAGAAGCTGGCTATCGGGACGTGGAATGCTACCTCTCTGGTGGGGAAGGAGCCTGAGCTGGTCTGTGAGGTTAAGAGGTTCCGGCTAGAAATAGTCGGACTCACCTCAACGCATGGCTCTGGCTCTGGAACCAGTTTCCTTGAGAGGGTTGGACACTCTTCCACTCTGGAGTTGCCCCTAGTGAGAGGCACCGAGCAGGAGTGGGCATACTTGTTGCCCCCCATCTTGGTGCCTGTAAGTTGGGGTTCACCCCGGTGAACGAGAGGGTAGCCTCCCTCCGCCTATGTGTGGGGGGACGGGTTCTGACTGTTGTTTGTGCTTATGCGCCAAACAGCAGCTCAGATTACCCATCCTTTTTTGGGTCTTTGAAAGTGGTATTGGAGTGTGTGCCTCCTGGGGACTCCCTTGTTCTACTGGGGGACTTCAATGCTCACGTGGGCAATGACAGTGAGACCTGGAGGGGTGTGGTTGGAAAGAACGGCCTGATCTGAACCCGAGTGGTGTTCTGTTATTGGACATCTGTGCTCATCATGGATTGACCATAACGAACACCATGTTCAGGCATAAGGGTGTCCATATGTGCTCTTGGCACCAGGACACCCTAGGCCGCAGTTCGATGATCGACTTTGTTGTCGTCTCATCTGATCTGCGGCCACATGTCTTAGACACTCGGGTGAAGAGAGGGGCAGAGCTGTCCACTGACCACTACCTGGTGTTGAGTTGGCTCTGATGGTGGGGGAGTATGCCAGTCAGACCTGGCAGACACAAACTTATTGTGAGGGTCTGATGGGAACATCTGGCAGAGTCTCCTGTGAGACGGAGCTTTAACTCCCACCTCTGGGAGAGCTTCAAACACGTTCCAGGGGAGGTGGGGGACATTGAGTCCAAGTGGGCCATGTTCCGCGCCTCTATTGTCGAGACGTCTTATCGGAGCTGTGGCCGCAAGGTTGTCGTGCCTGTCGCGGCGGTAACCTTCGAACCCGGTGGTGAACACCGGCAGTGAGGGATGCTGTCAGGCTGAAGAAGGAGTCCTATCGGACCCTTTTGGCATGTGGGACCTGGGAAGCAGCTGATGGGCACCAGCAGTCCAAGTGGCATGTGGCTCGGGTGGTCGCTGAGGCAAAAACTCGGGCGTGGGATGAGTTTGGAGAGGCCGTGGAGAATGACTTCCGTACGGCTTTGAGGCAATTCTGGTCCACCATCAGGCATCTCGGGGAGGGAAAGCGGTACGCCACCAACACTATTTATAGTGGAGGTGGTGTGCTACTGACCTGAACTTGGGATGTCAGTGGGCGGAATACTTTGAAGATCTCCTCAATCCCACTGGCATGTCTTCCACTGAGGAAGCGGATCCTGGGGACTTTGGGTCGGGCTCTCCAATCTCTGGTGTTGAGTTCACCGAGATGGTTAATAAGCTCCTCGGTGGCAGGGCCCCAGGAGTAGATGAGATTCGCCCAGAGTTCCTTAAGGCTTTGGATGTTTTGAGGTTCTGTTGGCTTACACGACTCTGCAATATTGCGTGGACATTTGGGGCAGTTCCCCTGGATTGGCAGACTGGGGTGGTGGTCCCCCTATTCAAAAAGGTGGACCGTAGAGTGTGTTCCAACTACAGGGGGATCATATTCTTAAGCCTCCCTGGTAAGGTCTATTCGGGGGTTCTAGAGAGGAGGGTCTGTCGGATAGTCAAATCTCAGATTCAGGAGGAGCAGTGCGGTGTTCGTCCTGGTCGTGGAACACTGGACGAGCTCTACACCCTCAGCAGGGTCCTGGAAGGTGCATGAAAGTTTGTCCAACCAGTCTACGTGTGCTTTCTGGATTTGGAAAAGGCGTTCAACCGCGTCCCTCGGGGAGCCCTGTGTGGGGTACTCTGGGAGTATGGGGCTCCGGGAGTATGGGGTACCAGGCCCTTTGATACGGGTTCTTAGGTCCCTGTACAACCAGTGTCAGAGCTTGGTCCACAGTAAGTCGGGCTCCTTCCCAGTGAGAGTTGGACTCTGCCAAGGTTACCTTTTGTCACTGATTCTGTTCATAACTTTTATGGACAGAATTTCTAGGTGTAGCCAAGGTGTTGAGGGGATCAATTTTGGTGGCCTTAGGATCACTTCTCTGTTTTTTGCAGATGATGTGGTTCTTCATCAGGTTGTGATCTACATCTTTCGCTGGAGTGGTTTGCAGCAGAGTGGGACGCGGCTGGGATGAGGATCAGT